CAGCTTGATTGGGATCCCATCTGTGCCTGTCGATGTGCCACTGGACGTCAGCGCACATCTTTTGCAGCGGCGAAAACACGAAACACACTTGTTCGCTGGGAGAAGTGTGTTTCGGCGTCTCGCCGCAGCGGGGTGCCAGTCGCGTGGCTCTCCTCTCATTCGTTGTCTGCCGCTCCGCCTTTTCCATTTCGGCAGCCGCTTCTCGTGGCGATCTGCCAGGCTTTGTCAGCATATAGGAGGCTATGGCTAAGGTGGATGAAGAAGTATAAAATCACACTTGATAGTCAGCGGTGTGTCTGTTTCTTCTCTCTGTGTTTCTGCCCCTAACGTTCTAGCTGACCTTTTCTTTTGCATCAATGTACCAACTAGCTCAACTTCAGTCCGTTATTGAGCAATCACCTCTAAACTGACAGCGCACCCGCCGGACCAATTGACCGCCTCCCTTTCATCATCCAGACTCCAGTCTCTGCCCGAGGGTACGGGCGGAAGCGTGATCACGTGACGGAAGATAGACGCCTAACGTCCACCTATCAGCGAGTTATCCTCTTTCCCCTCTCCCCCTCCAGGATGTTAACACTAACCCAGTCTCTTGTCTTGTTCTGATTTCTTTTACTTCTTTTTTTTTATTTGCTGACTGACGAAAACTGTTTTCGGTTCCTCGGTCTGAATCCCTTGTCGCGGTCCCGCGTGGCGAGCCACCGAAATAGATCTCTGCCTTGGGCGTGTGCCCGCGTATACGCTTCCCAGACTTTGAAAGAGTTGCCCACACCGGTAAGTCGGCGTCTCGCAACGCTCCCGTTATATAACTTCATAATTTCATTCCAACCGTCCTCCCAAATCATCGATCAAGTGCTATACGTGATCCATTGATTAAAACAACTTATTCGGAGAGAGGTGCTGACGAAGAGGCCCATGGAATTATTCAGTGAAAAGAAGACTTGTGGCTGCTGAGGCACGGAAGCTGTGGCATGATTTAAAGAAACGTACGCATGACGAGAGTGTTTTTTTTTTCTTTTTTTTCCGCTTCGAGATGTCGGATTAGTGTACGTAGCAAGGCGCCTAAAACCAGTCTCCGACTGGTGTGTTTACCGCGTCGAAAAAAAAAAAGTCATCCCTCAAACTCCGTTTGACGACGTCGTTGAATTGTCACGCTGTCGTCTGTTGCGATCCTGGCGGCATTCCAATAGCTGTGGTGGATGCGGCAGACACCTGTTCGGCTGCAGGTCACTATCGTGCTCGACAGTCCACGGAAACTTCAGCAGCCGGGAGTTGGAACGCGTCGCGAGCGACGACAGCGGCTCTCGCGTTTGCTCGTGCTTTTCGCCGGAACCTCTAATACCTACCACCGGGATCGTAACACCCGAGAGTGTAACACTCCGGCTATTGTGACGTCATTTGTTGCCCCATCGATCGGGACCATTTTCGGTGCATGGGCAAGATAGGACGCTAAACACACCGGTCGGAAACGCGTTTCGGACACCGCAGCTGCGCTTAAGCCGGTCTACATGGCTTAAGCACCGACATCACAACAGCACCCATTGCAGTGGCCTTGCTGCAGAGGGCGTATATCTTCTTCGGCATACACCTCGCATCCTCGAACTTGTTTTTTTCTGGGCAAGAACAGGTAGGAACACCTCAGCATGATGCGACGTATCGTTCGAGCGATGTTCCACACCACTGATCTCCACTAGAGGGCTAGATGGCGCATCGAGCAAACAGGTATCAAGCCACCGGAAGCAAGCGGCTTGTCCCGGAAGTGAGCGCTTAATAGGCTTTCCCACTCTTACGAGCGGTGGTCCCAACAGAGTCCAGGGCGCTTGATTTGCTTTAGTTCCATCAAGAGAGCTTGCTTGTTGCGCAATAACAGTTCACGCAGGCTCGAGAAGTATCATTGGAGGCCATTTGATGTGTCAGAGTTTCGAGATTGTAGTTTGATTAAGTGTACATGCCCCACGTTCAATTGCCTCATTCTCAAAATTGATTATTAAAAAGGATTATTTAAACCCACGTAAAAATGCAAGAAAGCGTGAACCAAAACATTAACTAAATGTACTATAAAAGCCAGCAGACACTCGACTTCCGGGACAAGCATCGGACTTCCGGTGGCTTCACTCGCGCCCGACTCGGAGCGCACATCGCTTGCACCTGACATCACTGCGCCATGCTGGCGGTCATTTCTACTTCTTGCCGACATTCTAAGAAAAGACGAAATCGGCGGTGCGCAATGTAGGCTGCCAGAGGTACGCGCTCAGCAGCAAGCCACCACAATGGGAGCTCGTGTGAGGGGACAGAAGGTGGGGGTGATGTTTTTAGATTTTTGGCCCGATCCCCCAAAGGACATCCTGGCGATATCTCATACTGCCTGGTGATAGTTAGAAAAATGCAAAGGGAAAGGAAATTGGCTTGGAAAGGCAAAAATAGGAATAATATTTCTTCTTTTCTTGGTTTCCTGGCTAGGTGGCGCAAGTTGCCGCCCGTTATAAAAGAGTACTGCCGTTAGCATCCATCCATCCATCCGGCGTCAGTGCAAGTCATGTATTGACACTCGCATTTGTTCATTCTTCGTTTAATTGTTAACACTGACAGGGAGTACAGTTTTGCTCGCTAGCATGGCGCAGTGCTTTTTGCACTGCGCCATGATAGCGCAGCTTTTTGTTATACTATTTGCAACCCACAAATCTACATGGCGTTAAAGGAAAAAAAAAAAGGAGCCACCTTTTCACTGTTGCTATAAGCGTGCAAAGCAACACCCTATCAAGCTTTTTTTTTTTTTTTTCAAAGGGAGCGTGGAAGGCCATTTTGAATAAAAAAACAAAGGTCTCTGCGGACATTTCACATGCGTAACGGTCAGGGTTGTAAAAGTTATTTCAAAAATGTACCTAAGATACAGTTACAGTTACTCATACAAAAACGTACCTAAGTACTATCTAAGTACTCGCTTATATATGTACCGAGGTAAAGGTACAGTTGCTTGAGAGATACTTTCTTTATGTATTTTCCCCAAATTTGTCATGAGAACATATTGGAAGTAAAGCTTTTTATACTAAGGATACACACAATAACGAGTTCGATAAATGTGCTTTATTGGTGTCAATGCGATGTCCACATCCGAGTTGACTCCTCACGTGCCTTGTCACGAGTCTCCAATCGGTTCACCAAGGCCACAGCCCCCGCTGTTTACCATGTCACGCCGAAACCGCCGAAACTCTCTTGTTGACGTTCTTGCCCCCAGAGCCGGTGCTGACGTCGAGGGGCCCAGAAGACGTCGGCCGCATGAAGAAACGCACGAGTCGAGTGCACATGTACCTAACTTTCGCGACGACGATCGGAAGGCTTCAAGCTTCCGCGTATTTTTTTTTTAATTTGTTTGTTAGTCGGAAGAAAAATAAGCTTTTTTTTTTTCTTTCGGAACTTTTTTTAAAGTTTTAACAACAGCAAAAGTTGAGTCTGATTTATTGAGTGGAAACTGTATTAAATTTGTGATGTTACATTGCTTTACGATTGTAATTAAAATTATTTTAATTAAATCTTGTATTTATGGCAGAAGAGAGCCACCACCAGGACAAGATACAGGCAACAGAAACTGCGCACATCTTTCAAGTTATCTCCTCCCTTGTGTAGCTCTCAGAGGAGCTTTAAACACGCAATAAAGTCGATTTTGGTTTGAGATGAAGGATGCAGGTCGCTGTTTTTTCCAAATGGAGCTCCGAAGCGATTCGATATATATTGGTACCGCTAGAACGGCATCGCTGATCCACCGTTAGCGTAAATGAACACCGCCATTCGCTGAAGTGTCGTTCAATGCAACATCGTGGGCAGGGCTTCGTTCGCTAAAACGTCGTTCGATCAAGTCAGTGCCTCCCAGGTCGTACCTAACTCAACGTTAATCACGGCACATGGTAGTGTGTTAATACTTCAAGATTTATAGTTTCTATCATTTTCACCAAGCGCCTGTAAAAAGTAACTTCACTTATTTACATGTTACTGGAAAATGTACCTAAGATACAGATACTGTAATACCGAGAAATGAAAGTACCTAGGTTTGACCCTCAGGTGCAACAAAAGTACTTGGATACCGATTTCCAACTACTTGTACCTAAGTACTTTACAACCCTGGTAACGGTACACGGAAATGGCGCGATATGACTCGGCGCTATTCAAGACATAGTGCGTACAGAAACAAATTACCGGATCCGCAAGGTCCTGTAAAGTAGCATTTAATGATCGATCGTTCAAATTTGTTAAGAAGAATTAAACGAACGGTTCGGGTAGTGAAGAACGTATTAGGGAGTTTTCGTAGACCGCGTTTCCCATCCCGCTAAGCCCTCCGCAACGAAGAATCCACTACTGCGCCTGCGCGCCGATGGCCTTGACTGTAGAGTTCCGGGTATAGTAGCAGGTTGGGGAGATCGTTGCGGGACGGCGAAAACGATAGACGAAAAATTCCTAAATGTTTATTACCTTCCCCGCTAAATTTATCGTGAAAATTGACGCCACCGGACCCTGACTTTACGCGACGTGGTTACATGACGGCTAGAGGTGAACTCATGGTGCCACATAATACCATGACGTCACTTGATTGTCAAGTCACGTGACATCAATTACTCCTCTGAATTTAACAAAAATATTCATTTTTTTTGCGTTGGGTATAGACATTTTTTTTATTGCGACTGCCATGTTGAATCCTGACGGGGCTCAGCAGGGGCAATACGACAAATCACTTTGTTTGTTGATTGGAAGGCGCTAGAATTCAAGGGGACCGTGAAAATAGTTCTACTTTTTCTTGGCTATACTTTTCTCTACCAGTCATGCTTGAACTATTTAGTTTTTGTTCCACAACCGGACTGCGTCATGTTTCAACATGGCAACCGTCACACGAAAACGGTCTATACACGAGACTGTCCCAGACAGGCGGTCGCAGACGCGAATACCATCCGACTGGCACATCCTCTTATCTTGGCTCCGAGATCCGGAGCGATACCGCATCGCAAATAAGCGATATCTGTGCAATGTTCGTGGCAGCTGTACTGCACGCGCTTTCAAACATGTCCGTATCGCCGAATTTCCAGCCACAATCTTCGTATCGCTCCGCAAATTCGTGATAACTCACGCGTGTTGCTAAGTGCGCAGCTCTTATCGCATTCGTCTGTGTTCTTTTACGAATCATGATCATCGCAATGTTTCTGCGAGTCGCGAATCATCCGCCGCACAAAAAAGCGTCCGGAACAGCTGGCCTAACGTCGAGTGCTTCCCTCTGGAAGTCGTCCGTTCACGTGTGTGTTCTCAAGAGTCCCTCCAAGAAGTTTGTCTCTTCAGGTCAGCCTCAACTTCGTGCTCGAGAAAGACCCCAGCGAACCAGTTCGCTATCAGTTTTTGTTCGGCGGTATCTTATCCAAGTCCCCTGTTCAAGTATCAGCACGCCCTTTCAGTCTAAAAGACTTTGGTCGTCTAAAAGAAAAAGAAAAACGAGATGGGACCGTAGGATTAGTCTTCATCCGCAGATGAAGACATAGGTCTTCGGCCCTTGTGCTCGTTCTTTTCTACGATTTGCTTCTTGACCTTATCAGGTAACCATGTATTATGACCCAGATATGTCTGCTCTTATCAGAGGCGACTCTCGAAAGTGACCCTTCCAGCGAAGAAGTGTTGCGTGATGAAACTGCGCGCTTTGGAAAAGAAAAAAAGCGCCTTCTGTGGATCCGTTTGAACTTGTGCGCCGGGGAGGTTCCCCAGCTTGCGGGTGACGCCTGTCGGCAGTTTCAGTCGGTCCGTCGCCGTCATGGAGGCGGCCCAAGTACTGGCGCCGGTGCTGCTCTTCGTGGGGAACGCGGTCTCCGGGATCCTAGCCCACTGGCTGCATCTTCGGTTGGACGCCAAGCAGCGGCATCCACGGTGAGCGCTTTGTTTTAACACAGCATGTGCTTTATTTTATGAGGAAATCGTCACGATCGAAGGACAGTCACAAACGAGCGTTGCACAGTCCAGTTTCCCGGCTATTATTAGCGGGGAAATTGACGTCGTGACTTGACGTCAAGTGACCTCTACGACGGTGTTGCTTCCCCGTAAAATTTGTCGAGAAAACCACTGTAGGATAAGAGGGAGTGAGAGTGTGGGGAAGGGCAACACCGCCTAGAAGACAAGGCCGCAGTGTCGACATTTCTGCGTTACCAGCGAAGGCCAAAGCTGGAAACAGACTGGAAACGACTGCTTCGAGTCAAGTTTGAGCCGAACATTGACGCAATCGTCGTTTTCAATCAGTAGCCAGCGTTGGGCCTTCGCCGATGACGACATCGCTACGTGCTCTACCGGCCTTGTTATCTAGGAGGCCTTGGGAAGGGATGCAGATGAAGAGGGGAAGGACAGCGTAGTATGGCGAGTAGACGAATAAGGGAGGGAAGGGAAAAGAAAAAGATAAGGTAAGGACACAAAAAAGGTTAAGATATAAAAAAAAGTGTATGTGATCATCCTGGTGGTATCCAACACTGCCTGGTCATAGAAAAGTGCAGAGTGGGAGCAAATTGGCTTAGAAGGGTGAGGGGGTGCATCATCATCACACTTTTGGTTTATAGGTTCCGCAAGCTTAGCATCCGTCCGTTCGTGGTTTGTGTGGAGCACATTCTCTGCTCACTGGTCTTTGTCGGCATGATCAAGCTTGTGTTATATATTATGACGTACGACAAGTGTCATGTCATAGCAAACATTTTATGGCGTTAGCTGTTATTTGCGAGGTCTCACAAGAAATCCCGTGCTGTTGGTTTTTTTTTTGTATTTTTTGTTTTAGTACGGTCATGGCTCGTTAACTTTAGCGGCTCTCAGCTAAATTTAGCGGGAGTTTAGTATCCCTTAACTTAATGGCGTCACACTGCCAATGTGGGCATGATGTCACGTGACGCCACAGTGTAACACGAGCGCCTTCCGGTAAATTAATGGGGAAGTAAGTTCGCTATATTCAGAGGACGCTAAATTTAGCGGTGAAAGCGGGTGGCGTAACTGTTGCAGTACGCAACGTCGCGGCGGTCGCCGCAGTGCACGACATGACAAGAAACCGGGATTTTGTTTCCTAGATTCTAAGGTTGTCTTCTCTGGCAATTATTTAATGATAACTGATTGTTTTCTGTTTAGCCATTGTGTGCTCGACAGACGATAACATATCTGCGCGTGACAGGGCTGAATGTGCAAGTGCACCGTAACTTCTTCATCCTTGGTAATTATCTTTAGATACCGTTCTGGATTGAAAACTAATCAAATACCTTTATTGTGTCCAGTGAGCAGTAATAGTAATTTGAACCAGCTAAAGAAATCACACTGAGAATCACGACCAAATATCTAATAACTTGTAGACACTTCGCCATGAACCCTTCCTCCTCTGCAATAAGAAACTCAAACAGCAGCAACGTTGTATAGAAAAAAAAAAAAAATCCTTGTACCGTATTTGTTTGGTTCATGTTCTAACTTTAATGCTTTTGTTTTTGTAGTGTCAATCCTAAACCGGGTTTGTCGTTACGTCGCAGGTACTTCTGCAGCGCCATGCTGTTCACCGGCGGACTACTGCTCGGCGTCAGCTTGTTGGAACTCCTTCCACAAGCCTCTGACGTCATGAGCGGTCTCCAGCCCCACTTCCCGGTCGCCGAGGTCACCTTGTCTTCGGGCTTTCTGCTCTCTTTTCTTGGCCAAGAGCTCCTGCGAGCGTACAGTCTCTTCCGGAACCGACGTATCATGAGCCGGTGCGTATATATTGAGCCTTTGAGAAGTCTCTTTCAATAAAGCTGAACCAGAGGTGGCATATCAAATCATGTGACGCATCATCAACTGCTGTGATACTAAATCTAAGGTTCTCTGGGTTCAACTTTTAAAAAGTTTATTTTTCTCACAATTAAGCTGAACCAGGGCCCGTTTGCTCGAAGCACTAACCACGGCTAAAGTTAGCCGCAGTACCTAGGAGAGGGATTTTGAAATCACGTGACTGGGCTCGGTAGGGATGCGGGGAAACATGGCGGCGCCCCAGCGAGTGAGCGCCGCTCGCTTTGGAAATAATATGTCGCTGTAGCTGCAATATCGAGCGCGTTAGTCAGCAACGAATGGTGCAGGAGGCTTTCGCTTTGCCTTACCACAATTCAACCGCAAAGCATGGGCAAGGACATCGGCGCATTTTTTAGATAGTGTTTCGATTCTGGGCATTCCTAAGCCTAAATGAACGCGATAATTGTCGGCATGGCAACGTCTTTGGAAAGCGGATTGCCTCGACTCAATCGGCCGGGTACTGATAGCACACAAAAGCAGACAGCGTCCCAAAAGACTTTCTTCCCCGCAGGGGGCACCTGTGAAAGCAGGTGTTTGGAGAGTGGCGTCTCCACGGACCCCGAGCCATGAGGGTTCGCCTGCCCACGTCTGGCTGTGCGTGGCTTTCCCGTGTCCGGGGAAAAGGGCATCCTGGTGGTTGAGCCGAGCCCGGGGTAGGTTTGGACCCTTCGGGGCCCCCCGGGCGAGGCAATACACCACGTCGGCCCCCGCTTCCCGTAGACGGGAGTCCTGGCTTGGCCCGACCAGGATGATTCAGCCTAGTCGCCACTTCTACTATCCCCTCCTTTCTTTCACCCTTGTCTTCTTCTTCTTTTCACTCTTCTCATTTCCCTCCTTTCCTTTTTCAACTCCTTTGGCGGCAAGGGCTAACCTTGGGTGGTGACAGATACTCTCGTCCAGATCCACACTTGGTTATAGTTTCTGGGTAGCGCTAATAGAGTAATGCTTCCAGCAAAGCCATATTTGTTATGGGGTGTTACCTATTCCCTCGTTGGGCACCGTGGTGGGCGGCGCGCCACAGATTCCGAACACTCCTTGCCCTCTTATGGCGCCCCTCTCTTCCAAACCCCGTTCGGGGCAAGCCGTTAAAAGGCGCTGCCCTGAACACAAGACTATTGAAAAAGAACCAGAGGTAGAAAACTTCACGAAGTTTTTCGTTGTTCATTCCCTCGATGAACAGAAACCTGTGTCAAAGCTTTCACCATTTGTAGTAGCCAAAGTACTTGAACACCTTGTAGGGTTTTCCTACAAGGTTAAAAAACTCCACTCAGGAGACCTCCTAGTTGAGATAAATAACAAAAAGCAAAGTGAAGCGCTTCTCAAGCTGAACACCATATTTGATGTGAAAGTGTCGGTGAGCCCTCACCGCACACTGAACACCATTCGTGGAGTCCTCTCTGAGGACGACTTCCTTCACACTAGTGAGGAAGAACTCCTCGAGGGACTCCAAGGTGCCGGCGTTGTCGCAGTAAAACGGATTATGTTCAAAAAGGATAGTGTAAAAATTCCCTCAAAACACGTCATCCTTACATTTGAGAGGCATACACTACCACAAACAATCAAGGCTGGATACCTGAACTGCCACATCCGCCCTTTTGTCCCCAACCCCCAGCGGTGTTTCCGTTGCCAGCGTTTTGGTCACGGAACACGCAGCTGTCGAGGGAAGGAGACTTGTGCAAAGTGTGGCAGTCAGTATCACATCTCTGGCAATTGCGAGAATGTGGCCCACTGCGTTAATTGCGATGGACCACACCCTACCTACTATCGTGGCTGTCCCATATGGAAGCAAGAAAAGGAAATCATTGCCATTAAAGCCAAAGAAAATATCAGCTATAGCGAAGCAAAGAAAAGGTATTCCTTCATGTCGAAGGGATCATACGCCGACGTGGCACGGAGGGGTCTTGTGCCACGCTCGGAGTCGAGGGCTACCCAGGTCTCACCTGAGGTTCTGGAGGCAGCCCTCAGGGCCCCAACCCCCCAACTAGGGCAGCAGTGCCCCCCTCTTCATGGAGGGAGTGCACATGCTGCTTCGCTGGTTCTAGACCGGCCGGCAAATGCCGCACCTGTCCGCACATCGCGGTCCTCTGCCGGGGAGAGGGGGCGAAACTCCCGCCCGACCTCCTCAGAGAGGACCTCCTCTCCGAAAGAGCGGCACAACCCTCGTGCCGCTCCCCCAGTACCCAAGGGGCCGGAGGAGGCAGAGTTGAAAGACACTCTGCCCTGCACCTCCTGTGCCTCTTCGGCTCATCTTCAAACACATCATACACAGATTTTACGACGTTATCAAGTGTTCCGCAAAGATCGTCTGAGTTCCAGTTCTGGTGGCGTAGCAGTGGTCGTGCAGAGCGGGGTTGCCTGCTCGGAGGTCCCTCTCTGCACACCGCTCGAAGCTGTAGCGGTACGCCTTCTTTTAGACCGCCTCATTACAATTGTGTCCATTTATTTGCCACCAAACGTTCCATTGAAACTTCACGAACTTCAGGGTCTTGTAGGACAGCTTCCTCAACCCTTCTTAATTTTAGGAGATTTTAATGCCCATCACCCCATGTGGGGCAGTACTCGCCTCGATTCTCGAGGCCGAGTAATTGAGCGGTTTTTATTATCATCTAACTTGTGTATTTTTAACGGGAGAGAGCCTACTTTTTTTAGTTCTGCTCACAACTCATTTACATCTATTGACCTTTCTATTACTTCACCTTCATTACTTCCATGCTTTTCATGGAAGGTTTTTAATAATCCCTTTGGGAGCGATCACTTCCCGATTGTTTTAGAGAGTACTGTCTCTCTTCCGACTCTGTTAACACGAATGCCCCTATGGAAACTAGATAGGGCAGATTGGTCCATTTTTCAATTAGAGGCACTGATTGATTCTTCTATAATCTCAAACATGAATCCAGATGAAGCAACGCTGTATGTCACAGAGGTTATAATACATGCTGCCACACGAAGTATCCCTCAAACGTCTGGTCGTCTTCCTAAGAGATGCAAGCCATGGTGGAATGATGACTGTAAAACAACACGAAAGTCCCAGAACAAAGCTTGGTGCATCTTTCGTAGATATTCAACTTCTAGCAACTTACTTGAGTTTAAGAAAACGAGAGCTAAAGCTCGCTGGACAAGACGCCAGGCGAAGGGAAGCTCCTGGAGAAAGTATTTGACGTCCTTGAGTAGTTTTGTATCTACAAAAGAAGCGTGGGATCGGCTTAGAAAGGTTAGGGGCGACTACTTACCTTTCAAAACTCCTCTCTTCCCTGCATCATCTTCAACATCTCTGAGAGATCAAGCGAATGTTCTTGGGAAACATTTTCAGAATGTTTCTAGTTTACGCAACTGCAGTGAAGCCTTTAAAAAGTTCAGTTCGACAGCAGAGAAACAACCAATCATTTTGTCTGGTGCTCGTGACGCTCCGTACAACAGGCCTTTTACACTCTCTGAGCTCAAAGTGGCTCTTACTGTAAAGAAACAGTCTGCTCCTGGACCAGATAATGTTCATTATGAGATGTTAAGGCACCTGTCACCTGATTCTCTAGGCAGTTTGTTGACCTTTTATAACTCATTGTGGCATCGCTCTGCATTCCCCGAGGTTTGGAAAAGAGCTCATGTAATCGCTCTTCTGAAGCCTGGCAAAGATGCTTCTCAACCAACTAGCTACCGACCCATTGCTCTCACAAGTTGCTTGGGAAAAACCTACGAAAGAATGATTAACCGACGTCTCATTCATTTCTTGGAGAGTGAGAATGTGCTTGACATTAATCAGTGTGATTTTAGAGCTGGACGTTCCACCCTGGACCACTTAGTCCACCTTGAAACCTCTATTCGTGAGGCGTTTGTACACCGCCAGGTCTGTCTCTCTGTGTTTTTTTATCTGCAAAAGGCGTACGATACAACGTGGCGCTATGGGATCCTGCGGGATCTGTATGCTTAAGGTGTTCGGGGTCGCATGTTGCGATGCATACAAAGCTTCTTAATGGGACGTACTTTCCAAGTCCTTCTGGGCTCCACCTTATCAGATGTGTTTTCTCAAGAAAGTGGTGTCCCTCAGGGAGGGGTGCTTAGTGTCACACTTTTTGCAGTTAAAATCAATAGCCTGGCTCAGGTGATACCACCGACAGTATCTTATTCTTTGTATGTGGATGATGTGCAAATTTCAGTTTCTTCTTGCAATCTGCATAGTTGTGAACGTCAACTGCAACTGACAATCAACATGATGAGCAAGTGGGCAGCCGAAAATGGGTTTCGCTTCTCCCCCGACAAAACAGTATGTGTTCTTTTTTCGCTGCGTCGAGGGTTGTCACCGGATCCTACCTTGCATCTGAATAACGTTCCCATTACTGTTAAGGAGGCGCACAAGTTTCTAGGCGTGATATTCGACAAGAAGCTCACATTCGTACCCCATTTGAAAGAACTAAAACGAAAATGCCTACGATCTTCCAATATTCTTAAAGTGCTGTCGCACACAACTTGGGGGTCTGACAGACGATGTCTGCTGCGAATTTATAACTCTCCAGTGCGGTCCCGGTTGGATTATGGTGCACCGGTATATGCGTCGGCACGACCATCTGCTTTGAAGATGTTAGACCCAATCCATCACCTTGGCCTGCGTCTAGCCACAGGTGCTTTTCGCACGTCGCCCGTGCCGAGTCTGTATGCTGAAACACATCAGATGTCCCTTGAGCGACGCAGACAATATCTTAGTCTCTGCTATGCCTACAAAGTTTGTAGTGATCCACACCACCCTGCATTCTCTGCTCTGCAGACCTCTGCATCATTGCGCCTTTTTGAGAATAAGCCCAGTATTGTTCGGCCCTTGAGCCTTCGGGCTGAGAGCATGGCAAGGTCGCTGCACCTTTGTTTTGATGAGCCTCCTTTGTTGAGACAGGCCTATAGGGTTGCTCCTTGGGATTTGGTGCCAATCTCTTGTGAT